AAGTAGCATGCCACGCGTTTCAGTCGCTGCCACGTTGACTCGGTCGGCTGTTTGCTGCGTCAGCATCTCGGATTGGGTTTGGTCCAGGCGGTTTGGGGGTGTTTAGCCCAGACATCCCTCGGCAGGCTCTGGCCATTTCAAGGCTTTGAATTGGAAAGAGAGGATTAAACAGTTGTACAATGTCATGCCATCGCAGGAGGCCTTCGTCACCGAGCCCTCCTCTGTTAAGTGACCCTTTTTAGGTTTTTGTGGGCTTGCGACGCCGACTGCTGGCTCATGGTCGCGGCTTGAACGGGGTCTGCGAGAATCCGGGATGAAGCGTCGACTGAGGGGAGAAGGACAGGTTGTCTGCGGGGCGGCCGATGGGGAACACACTACGAACACACTACGGAAACACACTACAGGGCCCGAACCGGCAGGTCTCATTCATGCCACTGGCCGCCAGGCGCGCCGGGACGGCCTGCACAGGCCGGCTCTGCCGTGCGCGTGCACCTGTGTGCGTGTACGTGTGCGTGCGCCTGTGTGCGTGTGTGTAGTCCTGTATGGCATGTCGCACGCCCCAGTCTGATCACGAATTCAGTCACTGTCAGGACTGCGGGTCGCTCGTGCTGGTCAGAAAAAGAATGGACGTGCGCCTTTCGCGCTAATGTCAACCCAACTGCAAACTAACTTTTGCCGTCGGCGAGCCTTCAAGCCCCAATCAGTTCGGAATGAAACTAGAAGGAAGAAGAAAGCGGGAAATGTCAGAGAGACAAGCGGCAATTTTCATCGTGTTTAAGTGCTGTTTTAGTGCTCTCATTGCTGTTTTAGTGCTTAGTGCTTTCTGCTCCCCCCCCCCCCCCCCCTCCCATGTTCTGCACGCACCTCGTCACGATTTCTGCTCAAGTCAACCTGGTCAAGAGCATTTTGTGAGACTTGCTCGACCGCCCGAGAGATGACGCTGAGATCGACGCTTCCGCTTTGAGCCAAATCGGTCCCTGGCGCCGACACCTCGCCTATATTTGGAGAACACATTGATTATACAGTTAGACAGAAATCAACCGAGTCGTTTACATTCCAAGCGTCACTTGTGGCAGGCGGATGTCTGCCTCGATCGGCTGCAAACCACTTTGTCGTCGGCCAGCCGGGAGCCATAGCGCATGTGTGATGTTCAACGCCAGACGAGACTGTGGCCGTCCTGGAAGAGCCCTGCTGGCCGGGCCACGAGGCAGAATTATTACCCAGTGCCTCGGTGCGAAACCAGTGTAAAACCGCTTAGGCGCTCTAAGAGACACCGCTTCTTCCTGCGGGCTGCTGTTCCACAGATATCTGGCTGACACCGAGACAGCACCGTGCTTGTTGAGGCATCTCTAATTTGACAGCCTTGGCTGGGCGCCTAGACAGCGGTGGTAAGGCTAATGCACGGTACCGATAGTATCAAGATGACCTGCCAACCAGCATGGTCATTTCGGTCTTTGCCTTGCTAATGGTCGCCCCAGTAAGGCAACCGATGCAAAGCATTCTTCTTTGCGGCCGAGCGGGCACTTCGGATAGCACGGATCATCTCTGGGTCACCAGAAAAGGCCTCTGTTTATCGCTACCCGAGCGTTATTAAGAGAGCCGAGCCCTGGATTACTGAGAAAGCCAGGTCCTGGATCAGCCTTGCTAACATGCCAGGCTAATGTAAACATCTTCTTTTTTATTTACATTTTAGGCATTGACACGCTGTTCTCGCCTTGCACCCTCGCCAGTCGGAGGATTCATTGGCCCCCAACCGCCGTGACCGCCACATCGCCGACATACGTCACGCCAGCGTCGGCCGCGGCTTCTGCGGGCAGGGGGCGGCCCGAGAGGCGCCGACGGCTGTCTGTGGTACCCTGCACCGGACGGTGCCGCGTCTTCTCCCCCTAATTGTTAGCCAGCACCGCTATCGACTCGGCCTTGGCCCCGAAGGGCTGCCTGCACCGAGACCCGATCAATTTGGTATCCTAGGGGCGACCCCCTTCGACACTGCTTTAAGGAGCGCTTATGTTGTATGGCAATATTGGAATACATACGAACCATGTTTTGTGGTCATGTACTATGACAGGTCCTCAGTCTATGTAATAAACTCTCTGCTTGCGCACGACTATACCTACGCTTAGCTGTTCATTTTGGCTCATCTCGGGGTCGCCGTTCTCGCTGCTGTGCTTAGCAAAACTGGCCTTGGTGTGGAAAGCATAACCCTTTGCATTGATGCGGGCTGAAATTTACATTTCAACCTAAATAGCTACAGTGCTGTGACAGTTTTGCCAGCCTACTGTGAGGCAATGAAGGGGACGTCCATCGCCGCATAGCATTTAGGCCCGATGGGCGCAGGCTCGTCAGTCTTGCAGGAGGACTTCCAAATACGGGGGTGGCACATGACAGATGAAATCATGTGTTGTTCGGCCGACCTCACGGACCGCTTATCTAACTAAAACTGAGCCGCTTAAGACGGTAGGATGAACGTTTGCACGACGACTTAAATGCCGGCAGCCCGCCCCGCTGAGGAGCGTGATAGCCTAAAGTGCACGCAGCCCATGCCCAGCGGCGTGTTAAAGCGACAGCACAGTTTTGTCCTTGTCTGGAGTCTAAGCTGACCAGCAGCGGTTACTGGGCTCCTGCTGGGTTCACAGGCTCCTTCAGGTGACTGGGGTATGGGCCGGCCGGCGGCCTTGACCCAGTTCTGGTAAAGAGGAAGTGTGGGGGAGGGGCGCCACCCATCACCGATGACGCGGTATGCACGCGGAGGGCGCCGGTAGCCGAGTCCACCGGTCGGCCACCGCGCGTCGCCCGGCGTCGCTCGTCTTCAGGGCTGACGCCTGTGCGTCACCGGAAACCCCAGGCGGCGACGCTGTACGTCAGCGGAACCCTCAGACAAGGCAGTCCCGAGAGCCGAGGCTGACGCCGCCGGCACTTCCTCGTACGCAGGCAGTTACGAGCTAATGCGGCGCCGTGCCTCGCTTGCGCGCTATTAAGTTAATCGGTTTAGCGACCATGGCCGCAGGCGGGTTACGTGAACCGTTCGGCCTCACAAGGCCATCCGCGCTGGTCACGGTTGCATGGCGACTCAGCCAGGCAGCTTGGTTCGTGGCCACCGCGTCACCCGCCCCGACCCGTCCCCGTCTCGGCTTTCCACTGCTCCCATCACTCACGTCTGATGGCGATTGCTGATGTTAACGGAGAGCGTCGATGCGGCCAGGTGCCATGTGCTCAGAGAGTTGTGCGTGATTTATGCTGCGACATGCGGCACCTCCCCGTGGTGATGTATGGCAGCATTCAGTTGGGCCGTTTAGCGCAGAAGGTCGAGACGAAACTCTAGTCTAGACTAACCGGTCACTGAAGGCCACCCCAGCTCGGCGTGTAATCACTGCTGACTGGCCTCATGCGAGGCTGACCACGTTCCCGGCTTCGATGTGAACACTTCTTGGTACGAGCACTGCCGTATAATCGAACACTAAATAGCGAGCTCTTTAAATGCCAGCCGAGTGTGGGAGTTCAACGGGTGTGCCCGCGGGGACTAGAGTAAACCTCTTCCGTCCCGACAGCGCCCACCAACCGACGCGCAGCTCCACCCACTGTCCTAGTGTCGCAGGTCGCCCTTCACCCGAACAACGGCCGTGCCTGACGCCCAAAAGAGCACCGGAGGGGGAGGGAGGGGGGGGGGGCGCCAAACCAGCTGCGGTGCGTCAGTCTCGATGCCAGGCGCCGGCCCTTGATCCGCATCGCATTACCATAGCTGAGTAAGTCGCCGTCTTGGTTGCAAAACTAAATCTCCTTAAACTGCTACCGTGATGACACTGTTATGCCGCGTCGGTCGGCGCCGCCCGCTGGACGAGGCGGGTGGTGGGCGTCGTCAGCGCCGTCGGCCGGCTCCAGACGGCGCCGTCCGTCGGCGGCGCGGCGTACATGGAGATGAGGGGCCCGACCCCGTCGCCGGCCGTCGCCGGGCTGCGTGAACCAGCGGCTGTACATGTGTGGAGGGCCGCGCCCCGAGCCGGGGGGGACTCCAGCTGGCGCCGGGGGTGCGCCGGACGTGGCGCGCGACCGGCACACGGACGGCAGTCACTCACCTCGCGCGGCGGACCTGTGGTGCGCCATCTACCTCTGTCTGTGCCATGCTACGCTGACATGCAGATGAAAGGTCGAGAACTTTGGCTGTCTGAAGCTTAACCCGTCATGCGTGATTGCTGAGCACATAATGGCATTTTGCATGCCGATTCCCGATGCCTGGCGCAACAACACCACGAATATTGCCGACCGTGACTTGCCCTCGGACCATCGAATGCAGTACGGCACCCACATGGAACTGGAGCATGACGAGGCAAACTCAAAGCGAAAGCTTCAAGGGCGCACCTGTCCTTTTCCAATGCAACAACTTGGCGGCCAGTCACGGGCGTATTGTCCCCTGCCCGTCGCTGATTGGTATGCAGTATGCATACCGGGCGATCTGTGCTGCTGTACTGGCCAGTGTGCGACCTCCGTGTTCCATCAATCGTCGGCGAGCCGGGCTGGCGGCGGCGCCCTGTCGCCCGCTCCCGAGACACGGCCAACGCCGATCCGGTGGCGTTCGCCGGCTCGCTCGTGCTCCGTGCCTCGCCTGGACACGGCGGCATCCCCTGTGCCCCCCCCGCCGACACGCCAGCGTACTCCATGCGCCCTGCAGACACGCTGGCGCACCCGCGCCTGCCACCGGCTGGCTGGCGCACCCGCGTGGCCGCGTCCCGCCGCCAAGCGCGGACCCGGCCACGCACGGGGCTGGGCCGAGCGGGCGGCGGCGGCGGCCGGCTCCAGTCGCTGCGGGAGCGCCACAGCGCGAGGTCGTCCGGCCCGTGATGGAGTGCCCGCGCCGCGCGCCGCGCCACTGTCGCGCGCTCGCCGCTCGCTGAGGCCGCTCGGGCCCGCTGGGCTCGGCGTGTAGCTCGCGTGGCGTGGCGGCCAGCGCTCCGGGCTCTGGCCAGCGCCGAGGCCACTGCCGTGGGCTGCCCAGGTCAGCGTCGGACCGGAGCCGTGAAGGCCGTCTCCAGGTGACCCGCCAGGCCGGGTCGGGTCGGGCGTCGACGGACCGGGCGAGACGGCGTGTCGGGGCCGGGGGTGCGGGGCGAGGCCGGCCGCGGCGCGCGACACAATGTGGCGACTCGTGCTGAGCTGGACAGTCGCAGTCAGCTGTGTCGGCTTTTCATCAGCAGGTGAGGCATCGCAATCAATGTTGCACGTCGGCATCAGCGCCTAGAACCTCCACCCACACGCACACACACCTAAACTTGGTGCGTAGGCTGCGCCTTAGTCCACGCTCGCTTGCTCTTCCGTGTGAGACTCGGTCATACGTTATGTAAGCACGTACGCAATTACGTGTCGTTTCCTGACTGTGAGAACGTCGACCGCAAAAGTGCGCTGGCAGCCTATATTGCCACCACAGCGGCTCGAGAGTGGACTACGGACATCATCCACAATCATCATCGTCGTTCGTGAAAAATTGACGGGCAACATCACAAATTCTCACTTGTAGGCGCGCGTCAATCAACACAGTATCGCACCGTTTACCTTGTGGACAATAACCGCCTGGACGATCAGAAATTTCGCCATTCTCTTCAATATAGCCTTCAGTAAAGATCAATGTTTGCTTGTTTGCTGTGTTCATCGCATGCCGTCAGCGCTCGAAGCCTATACTTTGTTATAGACGTTACCACGCCCGACATGTGAAGAGGAACCAATTTTTGGTGCACTTTTGATGTTCTGGTGGGTGAAGTGTGTACAATGGTGTATGTGGTACCCGGAAAGTCCATTCATTGGTCTTTTACCACTTAATATTACTAGCATTGTTTGCTGGAAGTCATACTGGTACAAGTATAGTTCCGACAGGTTTGCGGAAAATGTGCTTCCGATTGTTATTCGGGCCATCAAATGTCGTCTGTTCAACTGCTGTATCGAGCATTGCTACGCGCCTTAGAATACAGAGTGCATCTAAGAAGAACGAGCACATTTGTACCGCAAAGCTCCGAAGGAAAACCATTTCCTACCGCTCCGGTTAACTCACCGCTCCGTAGCAGGTAGTCTTGTGGTCATGCCTTCTCCTTTGGTCATGCTTTTGAAATCTGAGCCCCCCTCGAGATCAGGTTCTTCTTGGCCAGATTTGCCGTCCGTCTTGCCTTGTGGATGACCATGCACACACATGCACGCCTGTTTCGATTGTATGTGCCTTCAGAACGTTACCGTATTTTCTTGTATTTTGCATCGCCTTGGTGTGAAACACTGAACACAGGACCTGTACCATATTCTGTGGTTGTAGAGGCTTAAGGGAGTGCGCCACATTTGCATGGGTTTTTGAGCTGAAAAAGCCATCTTAAAGATTATTTGGTGCGGTTCATAGCCGTGCCATCGCTTGGACCTCAGCCCCTGTCGTCTCTGAGCTATACGTCGGCGAAGAAGTGCAGACTATCTCGGCGGGACTATTTCAAGGCGTCCATGACGCCATAATAACGTCATTCAAATCCTGCCATTCCATTTGCCACGCGGCAATCGAGGCCAAGAAAAGTATCAGTATCGAGTCATCCATAGCTGGCGTTTGTGATCACGATTTCCGTATAAAATGACCGTCAATTGGCTCTCAATCAATGTTGTGCAAGCTGTGATGACGTAATCAAACAATGATGCATTGAAAAGCATATTTACAAATCAGGCGACTTGTGGCGTCTGGAGTAGTCTTTTCCACTTAGAATACAACAATAATTATGATAAATTATTTTATCATAGCTGATGCTTGTTTCAATACCTTTAAATGTGAAACAATCCCTTTAATCTCAGGTTCGAACGAAAGTTTATCTCGCCGACGGCGGCGCCATCGGTGGCGGCACCGGTGTGTGGGCTGTATGCATGGATTGTCGGCCGTTTGAGCCGGGCCGCATTCTGGGCAGGCGCCACAACCCAGTTCACTGCTGCTCCGTGGCAGAGACCCTGAACTATCTCGGTTATCGTTGTGCGATGTGAGGGATTCGAACACCCTGTTGAGAGCTCCGTATCCACGTATACAATGCTTAGGTCCTGACTGGCTCGTGAATTCTAAAACGTCGATCGTCGATCCCCAACGGTCTGTGATGCGTCTGGCAGTCCTTTTTCAGGAGGATGCATTTACTGCCTCTGATGCCACAGCTATATTGAGTCCATTTCAGAGCAACTGATCGGCTATGATGTAATCCGACAACATTGCACTATATTTCCTGGATGCCGCGGAGGATTCCGAACCGCTTATGACACATATGTTAGCTACTACGGGAACCTATCGGCCGTTGCAGGACCTTGTGAGCTTGCAGGAAACCATCGACAAGCTCTGAGTCCCACGACTTCGCCGAAAGCCATGAAGTGAGCAGCCTGCTCGTATTCCAATTCAGGCACGAGGGCGTATGGTGACAGTACTTATCACACACATTAATCTCACCATTATTCACGATTTCGAGAGCAGCTTTGCGACGGCTCAAACCGCTTACCTCTGAAAGCAAACGTGCAGAAGTCTAAGCATGTATATGTTCAGGCGAGCTGGTTCCCATTCTTAAATGTTTTGCTGATGCAACCTGAACCGTGAATATCCAGGCACTACTTGCAGCCAATTGGGTCGCCGCAGAACAGCTCGGAGCTCGAGTTACAGCAACATCAATCAGCCCAGACATGAATCCGGATGCAACATTAAATCCTCCTCTTTTAACATTTGGACCCTAGCAATGCCGAATCGCATACCTACCCAGAAGCGATAAGACACGATTTGTTTTTGGGGGGACATCTGGTCTTGTTACGAGAGAGGTGGCCGATAGCGTCAGCTGACCGGGCATGGTGTGGCTTCAACGGTCCGCCCCGGTGCGGCCCCGCCACGCACGCCTTTGACAGGCTTATGCCTTTGCGACACTGATGGCGTTACCATGAAGTTGTCGGAAATAAGTGGCACAATTCTTCGAAAATTGCGCAGCAACGGTTTCAAGACGATTGGCTGAAAGTTGTTTAATCGCTTCGCTACAGCCCGCAGCGTCACCATTCTACCCTCCCACTCAAATGGCGTGGGAATTATGAAGTTTCGTGAGGTTTTCAAATCGAGAACATTTGAAGAACACGGAACAAACCTGGATGAGATCCCAATGTACCAGCGTCGCAGCGATGTAGACGAACGCATTCAGATGAAGAAGAGAACGGAGTATTGCGCCGGCTTAAGTATTGCTCGCGTTTGTGCAGCTCAGCACGCGTGACCGCGCGCAAACCATGCATCCGCCCGGTTCGAGACGCGTTTAAGACTTGGAGTCCGATCTCAGAGCCGACGTTCGTCCACAACGCACGCCGCAGACGAATGTGTCTTCCACGACAAACGCTGCAAGCGAATGCGTCGACTACGAATACTTGATGATCCCAGCAAGGTTCGACTCAGGTGTGTCAATTACACACCAGAAATAGTTCATTGTCACCCTTTAACAAGCCGGCTCCAAATACAACACACGGTTTTTGAGCAAAGAGAGATTAGGCCATCAAAGCTGAGTAAGCGTGCAGGTCGGATTATTATGGCATGCATGTATTCCGTATTATGTTTTGTTAAGTCCTCCGAAAATGTTGCATTCTTCCAGGTTTGTGTCATTGTGTGCAGACATGAATATTATCCCAAATCCATGGCCTAAGTCCACGGTTACAGACACAGTATCATGCCATGAAGGCTTTATAGGGTGACCTGATTGATACGCTTGTCTGATTTGCGGCTCTGCATAAAATTATAGTTATGGGCGCTGTATGGTCTATAGCTGCCGATGCGCCCCAAAGCCCCAAATCATCGTCATCATCTTTTCAATGAAAATTAACAGGATCACAGTCATTCAAAATTCCCGAAGCGCCATTGTTAAGTTTGTTCACGAACACTTGACAACAGTGTTGCCTGGAGCTCATGAAGGGGACATTTCAGCGCATTATTTAGGTTTGTTTATGGGTTCCTCGAAGATAATAGGCCTCATTCGCAAGGATTTCAGGAATTATCTACATCGCGATGCTCACTGACGAAGTCGTACCTGGCACACTCACGTACGTCGTTTCCTCGTTCGTCCAACTGCACAAAAGGCGTCCTCTTTGCACATTAAAGCGTTTAACTTCACTTATATGAAAGAAGGCCTGCAGGCTTAAGTGAGTCACATGGGTGCCTTGCGACCGAGACATGCACGTCAGCTGGCATGCGGGAAGGAGCTCGCCTGATATCACCGGAGTTGGGGGTCGCCGGCTGGACTCCCCACCGGCGGATGCGGGTCCTCATTACGTGCTCATCCACGAGCCGGGCTTCGGCCGAAGCGGACACGGATCGGGATGCGCCTGTCAGCAGATGCGGACCGGCGCCACTCAGCCACCGGCTCGATCTCGACTCGGCCTCCGCCGGCAGCAGAGCGCGGCGCCGGCGGCGCGGCGTCCCAGTCAGCTGGCGGTCACCAAACCAGTTCTCACTATAAATCAACGCGCCGGCGCGGCCGGCAGACGGCTGCGGGCAGCGTGAGTGGGGCCGCCGGCGCGTGACTGGGCCCGGCCCGGCCCGGTTGCAACACGCAGTAGCGGACGCCGGCCGGGGCCAGCGGCCAGCCGCCGCTCGGTCGGTCACCGGCGCCGCCCAGTCGCCGAACGTCGGTGCAGACCCCGGCGCGAACGGCTGGAGAGCGCGCTGCGAAAGCTGCTCGGAGCTCGGCTCGTGCTCGCTCGGCTTCGAGTCCAGTGCGTGGCGCCTGTTACCGGATGCGTCGTTTTTATGATAGCCAGTTGCACTCCTCGTCCGTGGGCTAAACAGGTCCACTTGTTGTACGTCGTCGTTGTTATCTCTTGCTGCTTCTTTTCCTGGGAAAACCGCGCGACAGTTCTGCAAATTTTGTCCATATTGATGACCTGCCACGCAGAAATGCGTAGAACAACGACGCACTGATCACTATCAGCGATCAGTGGTTGGCGGACAGACGTCTGAACGAACGTGTCGACCCAGGGCCGAGTGGGTTCGGCATATGTTGCGTGCCGTTAAGCACACACACAACTTTTTGTGAGGAGGGACCCCACCGCGCTACTGGCCCCGACGGGAGTCCTCGCCGGGGACGAAGACGGGAAGCAGTTCGCCGAAATGCAGATCCCCGAAACGCGTTTATCGCCTTTTCTTGTGCTTCATGATGCTACAGTTTTGCTCGTTGTGGTAATCAATCTGGCACTAGGCGTTTTCAGGAACGTCCTCATGCCATGTTTTACACCGATGCAGTAGCGGCACGCACTTGCCAACCGTGGAACAGGGACCCGCGCGCGCACTCCTCGTGCGTGCCTCTGCACGGCGCGGCCAGCCGCCGCCGAGCCGGGCGCCGCTGCCTTGAGCGGGCTGAGTCGGGCCGGGCTCGGGTCTCCTCTCTCTCCGCCCCTCCGCGGCGGCTGCCGTACGCAGTCTGCATACTGGCCGCCTTCCGAGAGCGCGTCTCAAGGCTGCGGAAGCGGCGGCGCGGCCCGTCCGGCTCCGGCCGCGCACGCGGTCCGGCAAGCTGGTCAGCCACGTGTCAAACGACGACTTTGTCCCGGTAGCAAATGGCCGGAATCGTCGGCTAGCTGTGCTTGTCACCGCCTTCGGTCAATTTCAACACAGCCCGCCTTTTCTCCCGCCTCCGTCCACGTCGTTCAGATCGGAGCGCTGCCATGCGTGGCCGGCGACGTCCTTCTGCGCGTCACTCGGCACGCGGCACCAAGGCCTGCAGGCGGCGGCGGCGGCGGCGGCGATTTCGCGTCGTCCTGCATGGGACCGCTCCCTGAGTCAACAGCGGACCGGCGCCGTGACGGCCGCTCCCGTCAGCGGCCCCGCCCGCCGGCAGGCTGCAGGCCGCAGCGCTCGGGCCGCGGCTCCGCTGGGCTTCACGGCGGACCGACCGACCGGTGCCCAACATCCTCGTCACCCAGATGTTGACGAAAGTGCGCTGGGTGGCCGTGCCATGATGGAGAGGCGTCCCTGGAGATTCGAGCTCATTAAGAACGGCGGTTCAGAAGTCCATGCTACAAACATTTCGGAGGGGTCACATAGCGAGTTGGGCGAGCAGCTAGTCTGTTTTCGCAGCCGATACAGTCACGGCTGGCACGTTCCGGAGGGTCCCACGCCACCTGACGACGAGGTGACCCCGGTCAGCACCTCCGAATCATTAAATATGCCGATTATTTACAGATTGAACAGTCATCGCTGTACGCACGTTTTGTATTTGTCCGCTGCTTTGGTCTGTTCTGCTTCGGCTACTCTTCTCCCACTCTTCTCCCACTTCTTTGATGGCAAAGGAGAAGGAGAAGATGACGTAATCTGTGATCCGATCATCAATCACTGCTGTGATGCACACTCCCTGCTTGCGGTAAAATGCCAATGTTTTTGTACGCGAACCAATATATCCTTATAATCTGTCATCACACACGGCATTTATTGTGTTGTTTGGTTGTCTGTTCGAATGAAATCTTGTCTAAGTGCCGTATTTGTCGTTTGCTACGAGCCGACCGACATGTTAATCCGAAGGATCAGACGAATGCTACATACAATATATCGCTACTGACTCCATATGTATAAGCTGACGGCAATGTTTACATGGTTACGTGTGCCATGACACTGATCAGTCGGGATATCAAGATAACGCCACTGACGCTGACAATAGTCCGATATTTACTACACGTGCACTCAGGGTCCTCTCCATAGTGGCTTGGACCTAAGCTCGACTAACACATGTAATCCATCATGGGGCCCCGTTCGCGTTGGTAGCCGCCCACTCACGCCACTGCGGTGGGACGAATGGGCGGCCATCAGTGCGCCGACACGATGCGGCGGCGCAGACCAGAGCTGGCCAAGGCAGACTGACGCAGCTCCTGCTGTGTTGCGACGTAACACCCGACAAGGTGTCGATCAGGCCTGACCTGAGGTATAGGTCGCGACGTAGTGCCTGCCGGAGTGTTGACCTGACCTCCCTGACCTGCGCCTCCGCCTGTGATGTGAGCTGACCTCCGGCCACTGTAGCGTCCTCCTGTGACCGGACCGCGATGTGACCTGACCTGTGACCTGACCTCAGGCCACTGCGCCGCCCTGACCTGCCACGCACTAGGTCAGCGGGCCCCACCCCGAGCTGACCGGGCCCGCCCCGTCTCCGCAGGCTGCGGCCTGTCGTCGGGACCCACGTGGCGGTCCGACGGCCGGTGCGGGGCCAGCTTCCCCCTGGCGACCGGCGAGGCGTCCACGTGCGACAAGCGGAGCGAGCGGCCCTGCTGCTCCGACTTCGGCTACTGCGGCACCTCCGAGAGCCACTGCTTGTGCGCCGAGTGCGTCGACTATAGGGGTGAGTACAGCCCGGAGCCTGCGCCGGGACCCGGTGACTCTCGCCGCCTGGCAGCCGTGGGGACCGCCGCATCCTGTCATTCACATTCAGGCCGCCCGCTGGTGGGCATGTGCTTTCGAACCATTTTACGAAATTCACGGAGTTTCACGGAGGGACGTAGCGCGACATTGTTCTTCTCACGAGGTCCTGAAATGCCGTATTTTTTAACGCAATCACATACTTGATGGTGTGCTTCCTGCCTGCCCAATTCTGCATCAGGACAGACCAATGACACCATCAGGACATTATGGGCACGTAAAACCGTCGTAAATATTGACTGTCGTCTTCAATGTGCTGTACCATTACGTTTAGTAGAGCCTCGGGATTTATATCAAAGGCAGTTAATTTCGAATTGAGTAACATCTAATGTTACACCTTGAGTCAGTGAATATTTCATCAAATTATGTAATACAACGCCTGCGGAAAGTCCACCGTACTGCGTCACAGCACCCACTTGCAAATGCGCTGCCGCCTGCACTTGAGCCCGTCTGGATTGCCCAACGCATGACAGCGGCGGTCCGTGGGCGTGGGCGACGGCGCGGCTGGTGCAGGCGGCACGCCGCGCCGCTCAGGCCCAGCCCCCGTCAGCGTCGGCCGACCACGTGGGGAAGCTGGCGGAGATCTCTCGGAGGACCGGGCCGGACCCGTCCCCAGAAGGGCCTGGCGGGACCCACCCCGGAACGGTCGGGCGAGACCCACCCCCGAAACGGTCGGGCGGGACCCGCCCTCAGAAGGGCCGGGCGGGACCCACACCCAGAACGGTCGGGCGGGACCCACCCCCGGAACGGCCGGGCGGGACCCACCCTCAGAAGCGTTCGCTGCTGACGCTCGCATACAATGCGCTCACGTTAGATGAAACATGTGGACGCGTCTAAGGAGTCATTGGCGTTGATATCACTTTTGAGTAAGCGTTCCCCAAGATGGATTGATAATATATTTGTGCATGCTTTTGAGTCGGGCGAAAAAGTACAATGAACACGAACGCTCTTGACTCAGCATTACAAAAATCTGCGATGATCACGTTACTCAAGCGAGCACTTATCCAGACTTGGGTGATTACAGCGGGTCTTCTTTTTTCGCGCGTTACTTCAAAGAGCTACCAACCGGTTCCGCGGATTAAATGACCACCCACGGTCTTATCTCCTCTAATGCGCAAGTCCTGAATAGCGTTGCAATGGGGATCACGGCAACAACGTTAGTTTTGCAAGCAAGTCCTGGGGAGGTAAAAAGTGCCGCTCGTTTTGAGATCGCTAGTTTATGGAGCTTTTCTTGACGACTGAACTACAGTCTTTAGTCCGTGATACCTTGCCTCTGCGTAAAAAATAACTGATTTACCCTAATGTGCCAATTACGTCACAAGTCAGATCAAGCATTGCAGGGATATGGTATCATCTACAGGTATGGTGTATATCTTATCTGGAGAGTGTGAATATACATACCAATGGTGTCAATTTGGCATCAGTCGTGCTTCACAGCAATTTTGATATCTTTATGTGTGACACAAAAAGACATGTGGTGATATTAAAGACAAACGATACGGTTCGATAAGCAGCCGCAACAATTTCGTAATGGCAGGAGGCTCAGCACGGGATGGTCTGGCCGCGAATCCAAGGCAATGTTCTTACCCAACATTTCTTCTTTTCAACACGCACCTGGGTGACCAGTTGAATACCCGTCGCTCGAGTGGGGGTCAATTTGACCCCCTGGGATTTCAGAAACTGAGAGAGCGAGATATACCAAATTCACAGGGCGTGTTGGCCTGTACGTGAACTTACTTTTGTAAAGGTTTGAGGTTCTTAGGTCATAACCTTCGAGTCAAATGAGGTCAAACAATGTCAAACTCCACGTCAGTGTCCAAAGTGCCCGCATAACCTAGATACCTGTTCTAAACAAAAGGTTACATGCTCATTTAGGGCTAGCGACTTGTTTGACCTTTTGAAGGTCATGGTGACCAGAATCATGCAAGACTGTTTTGATTTTTGCATTTGAATAAGCGACAGAGATTACTCTAGGCAGTGCCAACAGCAAAATGTTGAGTTGGGTCATTTCAGGTCAATGACCTTTTCCAACCTAAAGAAGTTCATGTAAGATGTATAGTGCAGTTCCTGTTGTCAATAAATTCGAAATGAGGACCAGAAACTATCTCATAGAGTTAGCCCTAGAGTAGTAAAACAGATCGATTTTGACCTTGGTCTGACCTTCACACCTGACTCTAGGTCAATGTTCTTTGTTCATTAATTGTTGTGTTGCCTGAGAAAGTATCTCGGAGATGTATGGCTTCGTTCAACGCTCCGTTGTTGCATAAGATTACATGATTCCCTAGAAATTGACTTTCCTGAATCCATGGTCTGACTTTGACCTGCTGTACGTCAGCGACCTTACAAGGTACAACTAAGTTTTAGGTACCAAACAATCCGCTATTTAATCGTCTACAACTTTGCAAAATTGAGCGCGGCTACGCCGAGCCCTTGGGAAATGATTTAAGAGAACCCTTTGGGAGGTGGGTCAAGTTGACCTAATGAACCCTTCATTCGAATGGTGTTGGATCCAGGTCATCGTGCAGTGCGGGTTGTTGCGTGGACGCCGACCATGACCGCGTCATCCAAGCAGCAAGAACAAGGACGTATTTGTCCTCACCTGCTGTCATGCATCTCTGAGATGTCTGACATGATGTTTGACGTACCGCCCTGACATAGTCACGGCGCAGCCACCTGTGCCAAATGCTCCTAGCCCTGTCAAGGAAACGGTATGCCTCAGGTGCGACTCTCTCCTAATTTAACCTTGGTGGGAGTCGACTGACACTCACTGTGAGTGAGTGTCAGTCTGACACTCACTGTGAGTGAGATCCGCGCGTGGAGCAGGCACCCACCGGGTTGGATGGCTTGCCTGGAGTCCACGAAGAACAGGGTTCCGTTCTGACAGGTCTGGCCACGGGAGCGGTCCATATCTGTTCAGTACTAAGATAATAACAGCATCATTTGTACGCCGTCGGATCAAAGCCCATAAAAATTGGTGCGAGACAAAACCTTCCATCGTTTTTTTTATTTGCCACTCCGATAGCTATTGAGAAGTCCCACCCGGTGGCGATCCATGATGCTGGGGCTCAAGACCCTTGAGCGGTAATTCGCATTTCAAAGATATGGAACCCAACTTTGCCTAGGTTAGGTTAGGCATCGGTTAGGGTACATTTGCTAAAAGTAAGTTTGTGCAATGTGTGGGATCAGCTGTTGGTGTTTCGAGGGCACTGCCCGGTCCTGCACGGTCTCGCGCCCGACCCGGCGTCTGTTGGTGTCTCGAGGGCACTGCCCGGTCCTGCACGGTCTCGCGCCCGACCCGGCGTCTGTTGGTGTTTCGAGGGCACTTCCCGGTCCTGCACGGTCTCGCGCCCGACCCAGTGTCTGTTGGTGTCTCGAGGGCACTGCCCGGTCCTGCACGGTCTCGCGCCCGACCCGGCGTCTGTTGGTGTCTCGAGGGCACTGCCCGGTCCTGCACAGTCCCGTGTCTGACCCGGCGTCTATTGGTGTCTCGAGGGTAGCGTCCGATCCTGCGCGGTCCCGCGCCTGACTCGACGCCTGTTGGTGTATCGAGGGTAACGCCCGGTCCTGCACGGTCCCGCGTCTGACGCGTTGTATGTTGCAGCCGTACAGCAGCCCGAGGGCTGTCTCATACGCTACGCCGGCCTGGAGGGCGTGATGGAGTCGCAAGGCTACCCTTCGTCGTACCCTCCCAACCTCGACTGCTGCTACGACATCCAGCGGCCAGACGAGGGCTACTGCGGCGTCAAACTTTACTGTGAGTGAGGGTGAGCGTGAGCGCCGAACCACACACGCGCTCCGTTCCGTGATCTGACTGGACCTCTTCGGACGCAGTTCTGTTGGCTGCTGGGTGTTGTTGACAAACACATGCGTGCCGACGACAAGGAGTGGAAGGAATAACATTGAATGACATTCCTGGTATGCGGTGTGTGTTCCAAGTAAGAAAAAGTGGCGCATGGGACCGCACCAGCACCGACAGACGGCTCAACAGAGTACAAAAACGAAAACTTTTGACATCTCTTATCGAGCATTGAAACAAGGTAGTGTTTGTCAGCTGTCAGTATAGCCACATGTCAAAGCGGCTGAGTTTAGCAGCTGGGATTCGTCGAACAGAGTATCAATGACCTTCACAGTATGGGGTTACTTAGCTTGACAACATCTTGACGGGAGGGGGAAATACCAAAGGTATGACCGATCAAAAACATGGATACATGTAACGTACCCCAAGAATTCCGATTTCTCCTCAAACTGAAAAGATTCTTGCGTTCAAATAAATAGAAATGAAGCGAGTTGGCTGTGATATATGACATGACTATTACGAGACCACAATGAGGGTGATAAGCTTCAGTGAGAGAAATTATCTGGCCACCGAGAGGCGGAAGGAGGATTTGGTGAGTATGGGGGTATTTCTCCACTCAATATGTCGAAAGACCTCTGCAAGGTACCATCACGCGGACAAAGCGATGGATCCCATGACATTTTTGTGGGTATCAGGCCTACCAAAAACCCGTTCTTTGGTCGCGTGAACACAAGTTTGAGCGTAGAAAGTCACGCACTTATTCCTGATTCCGCGTTTTACTTGTTAGCAGTTTACTCTTAATGCATCATTGATTTTGAAACGGGTCTTATTCTGGACCTGATTGAAGCCTTTTTACTTCCACCGTCGCAGACCGGCGTGGCGGGTCAGCGTTCATGCCGCAGCACTACGGGGCACTGGGACGGAACTCCAGTCCAAAACTGGCAATAACTGCATCTTTCTGTGCTTATCCGCGCTGATAAGTTGGCTCCTGGCTTCACAATTTCTATTTTTCCAGAAGTTATGCGAATAAGGCCTTGCTGGTGGGTTATGAAATTTTGTTTTAAATTAAATCACCCTTTAACTCAGAGGAACATTTTTGGTCACAGACTCACAAGTCGTTCCTTCGGGCTTCTTGTAGAATCCCACATCTACCCCGGTAAACATTTCTACGCGCTTTAACGCTTTAAAAGGGACGACAGCATTTGGCAGCAGCAATCACCAACAATACAATAATTATTTGAATCACTTTATCACACTAGCGTTGAACCCGAGCACGATTAATGCCTTGGCCGTCATCAGCTGCCAGCTGACCCTGAGAATGTCCGTACGATGTTCGGCATTCATCCATCTATGGATGACGACTGCTGAGGGAGTTTACATTCATTATCAGGGGCTGTGAATCAGGCCCCTCGGTCACGCCAGTGACAAGTAAATGGATGAACGCCTGCCTGAGCCTGCTAAAAAGCGTAGCCTAGAAAACCCCGTGACGACGTCATGAAGTTTGACCGGTAGCACGTCTCTATCAGCGTTGTTAGGCGGACCAGCACACTTGGTACGGCTTGTAAAGGGATGTCTGCAGCGAATATTCACTACCATAGGATCGCATCGGCCCCTTCATTACATTTAAGTGCGACTGAAGCTCAATTTGCTTCATCTGTGTCGATCGTACTTACGTATGCGCTGCATTGAAAGATGCATCCACATGCCGTAACTTACTTTAGACTGAACCGAACGGCATGGACGCTCCATGACATTGTGAAGGTCCTTGTGCCATCCGGCTCGTATTTCCCGCTCACTGAGCGCCAGATGGCAAAGATTCCGTGTGACGTCATGCAGCTTCCTTGCCGAATGCACAGAAACTATAGCAGCATGTGTTTACGACGCACGGTAGGTGATGCAACAGAAATTGCAAAATAGTGCAGCAAGATTTTGACTCCCTGTGCTTGGTTTTCTATGTATGTCTTCGTGACGCAGTTATTTTGTTATTGGATTTGTCAAGGTCCATAGGTCATTCACGGGGCATTACTTCAGCTTTTCAACGGGCTGACGAAAAACAGAGGTTGAACGCTGCATGATAGCACAATCGATAGGGGCAGGGGCTTGATTGGATATTGATCTTTAGAGAGATTCGGATGATCTAAAATAACATCGTCTTGGAAGAGGTGCCTCCGGATTATGATCAAAACATCATGATTTTCTGTCATGCTTCTCTTTCAACTCGTTCGAATAAGTTAATTTCAGATTACAATCTACCCGAAATGGGATTGGTGCATGAGCAGTTTTTACGCAACGATGGGCCTCTTCTTAAAAAAAAATATATCTCACGGCATAACCAATGCGTCGTAGACATGAGACGACACATCACAATCGCTTCGAATAAATTTCAATAGTGTTATTGCAGCATCTCCGGCGTCAGGGTTCGTCGTCGTCGTCAGTTCAGCATCGGTGGGTAGGGGCATGACTTACTCTGACGCATTGTTTGCCCACTTGACTACAGGCACTATGCCACTGTTTCACTGGTTTGGCACCGCGAGCCATCATTTTGTCCATCCGGACCACTAGTTCGGGTCCCTGGACATCCGCTGAGCCTTCAACGAGTCAAATCCCGGCGATATCTTTGTAACCAGCGGTATGTAAGTGCCCTTCGCGCTTTGACTGCTCCAGCTTCCAGTTTCCAGGTGATATCTTCTAATCGCCGTGATGTTCTAGACCACTTACATCGACATGTTCCTGTTGACATGCCGCAGCCAACGTTTGCAATACACAATCCGCAATTAACGTGACGCAAATTACGCGTCAGAGTCAACGCGTTTTAATTGATGTGCCCAAATCTGTATTCCGGTAGACGTATTGGGACTTGGACATTTCAACTGCATCACCACACAGCTGTGTCGACATGTTCGAACTGACATATTGCAGTTGCGGCTTCACGGCCAACGTGCGGAAGTCGGTGCGCTCCAGCAGCACGGGCGCGCGCTTTTATGCCTGCTCCCTGTTGCAGTTTATGTGTTACAGCAGCACGGACGCGCGCTTTTATACCTGTTCCCTGTTGCAGTTGATGTGTTGCAGCAGCACGGACGCGCGCTTTTATGCCTGTTCCCTGTTACTGTTGATGTGTTGCAGCAGCACGGACGCGTGCTTTTATGCCTGTTCCCTGTTGCAGTTGATGTGTTGCAGCAGCACGGACGCGCGCTTTTATGCCTGCTCCCTGTTGCAGTTGATGTGTTCCAGCAGCACGGACGCGCGCTTTTTTGCCTGTTCCCTGTTGCAGTTGATGTGTTCCAGCAGCACGGACGCGCGCTTTTATACCTGTTCCCTGTTGCTGTTGATGTGTTGCAGCAGCACGGACGCGCGCTTTTATGCCTGTTCCCTGTTGCAGTTGATGTGTTCCAGCTGGAAGGGTCGATGGATCCGTTCTGCCAGCGGGACTGGCTGAGTCCCGAGTACTGCGTCCCGGAGAAGGGCGCTCGCATGTGCGGCAACCTGACGGGATCCATTCGTGAGTGCCGACCGTACGTGCAGATACAAAGAGTTTCAGCGGTCTGCGCGCTGCCGCTGTGACCGCGGCATGACTCGTGTGCATTAGCCATGCTGCAAAGAACGAGTGCTTTTACAGTCAACTGCTTGCCTTGGTTCAATCATCGGAAGCGAGACGGTTAGTTCAGCTGGTTGGTATAGACAACCAAGCTCTTGGATACATATACATATATATATATATATATATATATATATATATATATATATATATTGGAATATTTTGGCAGAATCCTTTCTTTTATACATGTTTGATTAAAAATAACTGCTGACTCAGCATTGACGAGCTTTTTGATGCATCGTTCTAGTTTTCGGGCCTTTGACTTGATGATGCCAAGTCAAAGGCCCGGAAACTAGAACGATGCATCCAAAAGCCCGTCAATGCTGAGTCAGCAGTTATTTTTAATCAAACCTATATATATATATATATATATATATATATGTATAATATACATGTTTGTAAAAAAAATCACGATGGACTCAGCATTGATGATCTTTTTATGTTTTCTCAACAAATCTGATGACCGATTTCGTTTTTTCTCGATGTTCGTTTTGAAATGACACCAAAGCTCATGATGCAACGAATATATAGATTGCCGTATTACATGGCCTGCTATACGTTATATTTTTAACGTTTCATCCTTCATTGGACATGTTTTAGAGTGGCAGCTTTAGACAAAGTCGATAAAATCGCGCGTTTGAAAAATTCACGTTTTCTCGTGACTATTCTGACATGGATCTGATGTCTGCATGTATCAGTTTTTGAAATACCGGCGTAGAGCAAACATACTATGTATATATATATATATATATATATATATATATATATATATATATATATATACCACAATACGGACGAAAGCATCTACGCATTACTTGTAGTCATCATTGTCAGGTAACAACGCTCATCCCCGACACGCAAAACACTCATTGTCCCTGCGCTCTCCGCCCCAATGGTGGTCCTCCGTACAGATGGACGGTTCTACGCGCATCGGTCTGAAAATGGGAGGGTCCCAATCGCGGATGTGAATTGCTGTGGAGCACGCGATAACTTCTGTGTTGCTGTTGAGCATTTGGCGTGTCAGATAGGTTTTGTGTTGGGTCTCCGTATATAAAGATACATACCTGCATACATATATAAATCTATAATATATATATATATATATATATATATATATATATATAATTGAATGAAACGATTTGAATAACGCAAAGCATGGCTCTGACTACCAACAAATGGAAAAAATCCTTGTATTTCCTGTAGCCGAAGGTATATGCCAACTCGGGATCGTCATGGAGACAGACTATCCGTACGATTTACGTGGTCGCGTTCCATCTACCGGTTCTCGAACTGTTACAGACATTATTTATAGCACTCGTTTGATGTAAAACCAGCCTTGCAGATGCTTAAGACAAGCTATTGCTACAGCTATGTATTACAGCCTGTCCCAGTCGACTCGATGCATCTCACGCTGCGGGAAAGGAAATCTGGTTTACATGGCGTCACGAGACAAAAGACCAGTACCGACCACCCTGGTGCGGTGGCGCGGCGTAGCAAGCTGTCGACTGATGGCCGAGCCGCTTATGACCGACGCACAACAAGGATGTCGGCTACAGCCCAGCGATCTCCGATTGAGGCGCGGCGACGCTGCTGAGCGGCAGCCGACTGGCTGTTGATGAGAGTGCAGCGGAGCTGTCCACCGACAGCCGACTGGCTGTTGATGAGACAGTCGACTGGCTGTTGATAAGAGTGCAGCGGAACTGTCCACCGACAGCCGACTGGCTGTTGATGACAGTGCAGCGGAGCTGCCCACCGACAGCCGACTGGCTGTTGGTGGGAGTGCAGCGGGACTGCCCACCAACAGCCGACTGGTTGTTGATGGGACAGTCGATTGGCTGATGACGAGAGTGCAACGGAGACGCCAACCGACAGCCGACTGGCTGTTGATGACAGTGCGGCGGAGTTGTCCACCGACAGCCGACTGGCTGGTGATGAGAGTGCAGCAGAGATGCCAACCGACAGCCGACTAGGCTGTTAATGAGAGTAAAGCGGAGATGTCCACCGGCAGCCGACTGGCTGTTGATGGGAGTGCAGCGGAGCAGTCCACCGACAGCCGACTGGCTGTCGATGGGAGTGCAGCGGAAATGTCCACCGACAGCCGACTGGCTGTTGATGGGAGTGCAGCGGAGCAGTCCACCGACAGCGGACTGGCTGTTGATGAGAGTGCAGCGGAGCTGTCCACCGACAGCCGACTGGCTATTGATGAGAGTGCGGCGGAGCTGTCTGCCGACAGCCGAGTGACCTCCGGTCGAGGTGCGGCGCCGCCGTCGTGCCGCGGCCGGGCCAACGGTCGGCACTGGCCGTCCCGTTTCACTGTTGGACGTCAACCCTGCGGAGCGGGTGCCTGCGGTGTCCAGCTGCAGACCGGCCTTGGTTCCGCATCTGCTTTCACCGGAATACTCGCCACGCTGGGAAGTATTCTCACAGACGGCGGCAAGATGTGGAGCAGGCCTCCTAGTGACAGGAGGCACGCCGTTATGGTCACCAGCTGATGCCATCCGAAACGAAAGGAAACGAAACGAAAACCGAAACAACGCATCTGTTTCCATCGGACGCAAGAAGTCTGCAAGCAGACCAGGTTTGACTGGCTGGATCAGAACCGCCGTATGGTTGGTGCGCGCACAGGTTGCACGGGAGTACATGCGAAGGGCCAGTGACCAAAGGCAAAGGTACCCTGGGCGATTCCGCACAGTGTCCTTCAAAGGCCCTTTCGTGATCGCCTGTGTGGCGTACGTATGAGACAGAACACCGTGCCGGGTAATACATATCTGAAACAGAGTTGACAAATGCTCACGCTGGAGCCTCGTTCGCCTTTTTGGGAGGGGGGGGGGGGGGAGCTGGCTGTTCTCATACTGCGCCTGGTCGTGTCCTCAGCACCAGGCCTGCGTTCCGGAAACAGATATTCGCACGTGATTTTCTCTGTACTTGCACCCGGGACCCATGAACCCAGCTAGCAGCACTAGGCCCAGTCAGTAGCTCCCAGCTCCCTGAATAAAATGTGTCTCGCACTGAGACCATCACACCCTCTATCCCGCGCCCCGCGCCTCGTCTGTAGGGCCTCTCCGGGCGCTGCCATTGTCACCCGAGCGAAGCAGAGTTATTCAAGGTAGGAAGCCGGTAGTGGCAGCCGTGCGGCCGACCTTGTGTGCTCGAACCGTTTTTCCCACGCGCCGTCGGCACGGGCATTTGAGTCGGTGACGGGCCAATCAAGCCACGTCGCCCCCGGCAGCGGGAGGGGCACCCCGGCGCCGAGCACCCCGCCTCCTCAGGGGCGCCACCGCTCCTTTATGGATGCTGAAGGAGGCCGACCATCGCCGCCGAAAGGTATGAGAGATGGAGACGGTTGGTGCGGCGGGAAGATGTCGGAGCAGTGCGGTCAACCCGGGGATGTCTGAGAAGTGCGGTCAACCCGAATATGTCGGAATGGTGCGGTTAACCCGGAGATGTCGGAGGAGTGCGGTCAAGTGAAGATGTCGGAATAGTGTGGTTAACCCGGAGATGTCGGAGGAGTGCGGTAAACTGAAGATGTCGGAGGAGTGCGGTCAACCCGGAGGATGTCGGAGGAATAGAGTCACCGCTCAGTTGGGAGTCGTCGGAGGAGCGAGGTCGGGCGCCCCTCGGAAGGGCGGTGCGAGAGTAGTCGAGAGAGCAGGGTGGCCATTTCGCCGGGAAGGTGTGGGATGGGTAGGCCACTGCCTGTTCTGGAGGACGTTGGAGGAATGAAGTCATCACTTCACCGGTAGTATGTCGGAGGGTCATCGCTCAACCGCGAGGACTTTGGAGGAGTAAGGTCATTGCTCCACCGTGAGGAGCCCGGCAGAGTAGGGTCATCGCTCCACCGTGAAGACCCCGGTAGGGTAGGGCCATCGCTCCACCGTGAAGACCCCGGTAAAGTAGGGCCATCGCTCAACCGCGAGGACTTTGGAGGTGTAAGGTCATTGCTTTACCGTGAGGACCGCGGTAGAGTAGGGCACATCGCTCCACCGTGAAGACCCCGGTAGAGTAGGGCCATCGCTCCACCGTGAAGACTTCTGTGGAGTAGGGCCAACGTCATCGCTCCACCGTGAGGACTTCAGCGGAGTACGGATAATCTGATGGCATGCCAGCGACCGAGCCGTCTCTGGCCGAGGGCTCTGAACGCCTAACCTTCTGCACCCCCGTGGTGAAAGGTATCCTCTGGCCTTCCCGTGAGTGACTTGCCTTGGACGATAACAGACGAGTCGACGGCGATGGAAGGAGATGGGCGTCTGAGCTGGGTCAGAGGGACGTAGGACCCAGGGAAAGGGCAGCCCCTCCGTCACTCCCCCCGCACCTCTGGAAAACCCCAACTCTTCTCGCCCTTCTCTCCATTGTCTCCTTCTCAAGCAATCTTTCAAGAGAACCACTCCAAGAGTATTAGTATACAGATGGAATGATTGTTCGACTATTGCGCTCGTCTGGTGTATTAAAGAGTACAAAACAGTTCCCCCAGCTAATTCCCCAGGCGTCGTCAAGTGCTATTGAGTCCTGAGTTGTGGGAGTCGCGTTGTAAAGGGCTTATCTGCATTCGTAATTCTGCGTTCTCTGCGTTCGTCCGACCTTTGTTTCGTAGTCATGCACGGTCCTTGAGATGACGGGACGGGCCTGCACACAGAGGGTTACCTGTGATTGACCCGTGTGACCTCATTTGACATGTCGCGGACGGTACTCGCCGCCTGGTCACCGCGGGGTATGATTCAGTACGCCAGGGTCGGTCCGGCTTAACTTTCCTCACAGTCAGCGCACTGGTTCCGAAGATGAGAAAATGTCAAACGCCACTCATGTCGCCACTTGCCTCTATCGAACCGATCAAACGTCACTTGTACCGACGATCAGTGATAGCAATCGTACGCGCTTTTTATGCGGGCTGTCCAATGCCTTTTCCGCTTTGCTTTGGCACGTTTAGTTTGCAACGTAGAACAAAGGTCCGGTGCTAAATAAGCCCTTTTAATTCCAGTTGTAGCGTTTGACAGCTCGGTGTACACTGTCTGTGTCCGCACGTCCGATACCGTCTCTGCGGCCTGCTACAGCCGCGCGGATATGTCCGTTGCAGACGAGTACCTGTATCAGCCGGGGGCGTCGGCCCTTCGCTTCTCGTTCCGCTCCGACTCGTACAACCTGCACCCGGGCTTCAAGATCCGCTACGAGCTGCTGACCAAGTGTCGCGCACCGTACGCCGATCCGATGCCCACCGAGATCCCGGACGCGGGCGGCGCCAAGTGCTACACCAAGGTCACCAACCGGAGGGGCAGCATCAACACGCCCTTCTACCCAAATAGCTACCCCAACAACGTGGACTGCGTGTACGAGTTCGAGAGGTTGGTGTCGCGTGGCCCTGCTGTGCCCTGTGCCCTTTCGGGCGATGTTGGGTGGCCTGTGCAGGCCGGACATCCCCGGACTCCATGCCTCCGAGAGCGACGCACCGACTTTTGCCCTCAGGAGTGGTATTCTAATGTTAGCCGCCGGGAACCAGTGACCGTTTGACCTTAACCATCGGGGATGACCCACTGACCGTTTGACCTTTACCATCGGGGATGACCCACTGACCTTTACCATCAGTGATGACCCCTGGCCGGTGTCTTCAGCTGCGACCCGATGGCATTTGCCATCAGGAGTGATCTCTGACCCGTATTTCCAGGGTAGACCCGCGCGTCTGCGGCATACGGATGCGCTCGCTGGCATTCGAGCTGCAGGACCCGTTTGATTCGCCGTTCGGTGGCGCCTGCACCGACTTCTTCCACTGTCCTGGCTGTGGCTATCTCTGCGGCCAGGTAGAATTCTCGTGTAAGTGCCCCACGCCGCATTCCGTCTCGTGCATGCAACAGCGGCTACTCCCAACATTCGAGCAGCGGCTGGCGTGCAGACAGGTCGACTTTCGTGTGCACGGAAGTGCCCAACATTAACAACAGCACGAGTACACATAGACGCACGCACGCGTACTCAGCACGCGCTCACCGTGCACACCGTCCATTTTGTCTTCACTCGACGTCTGAACAAGAATCCCACACGCTTTTGCCAATTTACCTAGCTGGCCAGTCAAAACTCATCTGTTGCCTGTGATATCTTACATCGCATCAGCAGCAGCGCCCAGTCTACGCCCCCTGGTGCACACCCAGCAAATGTCCGCGCACTTAGGCACCAGCACTATGGAGGTCGAATTCGGGTTCGACCCATCTCAAAGGGCTCCACCAAGGGCTCAACAGCTCAGAGGAATCATCATTGCGCCTGGAATGTTTTGCCCACCGCCGATGGAGTCACCCTGTCACGTTCGGTAACGCGGTCCAAACTCGCCTCGTTTGGTCGACGCGTGACGTGCGCCGCGGGATCCTCCAGCTGCTCACGATGGGCCGGGAACCATTGGCCGCTCCATCGTCAGCGAGGAAATCGTCGCGTGGCCAGCGGCGGCGCACCGCGGGCCGATCTTCTCCCGCAGCATCCACAGCCAACACCCGTTGCGTCCATGAAAACACACCGTTGCGTCCAAAGATTGCGCATGAAGAGCAGCAGCCTCTAGTCCACGGGGCCCCCTGATGCTCGGCAACCTCTGGTCCACGGGGCCCCCTGATGCTCGGCAACCTCCAGTCCACGGGGCCCCCTGATGCTCGGCAACCTCTGGTCCACGGCGCACCCTGATGCTCGGCAACCTCTGGCCCACGAGGCCCCCTGATGCTCGGCAACCTCTGGTCCACGGGCCCTCCTGATACTCGCCAACCTCTGGCCCACGAGGCCCCCTAATGCTCGGCAACCTCCAGTCCACGGGGCCCCCCAATGCTCGGCAGTCTCTGGTCCGCAGCAGACCGAGCAGCGCTGGCCGCGGTCACGCGTTCGACATCGAGCGCCTGACCGCGACGCCGCGCTCGGCGTCCGGACGGCAGCGCCCGGCGCGGGACCTCCGCACTCCGGTCACTCGCTGTCTGGCGGGCCGCGCGATAAACTCCCCTTGACAGCCCGCCGCCCGTACCTGAACGCGAGGCGAATCTGATCCCATAGGTCACGCGCTGGTGACGTCACACACTGGCGTGCGCCGCATCTGACGAAATCTGACTGAGGAGCTCAACCCGACAGGCTTAACCATAGCCCAAATTCAATGCAAGCAGCTGTCCTATGATTTGTTTGCCATGTTTTTACCACGCTTTCCGACAAAGAGCGAAATAAGCCGCGCTTCATGCGAATGTTCTGGTCCTTCAGTGACGACTGCCTTGACTGGGGGAGCCCTGTGGGTTTAGCTCCCCCCCCCCCCCCCCCCCCCAGTAAACATGTTAGAGGAGGCCCTGTCGGGTGAGGTCACGAGTCAGCACGATCGAACGATGCAAGCAACTGGATGCACTAACCAATGACGTCTAATGCGCCACGCGGTTCAATGACGGATGGCCCGATCCGAATCGACTTGCAATGAGAGGCGTAAGCAGGATTTCGGCACCCAAATTGCCCGGACACGGCAGAGGCTCAGCCCGCTCGACGGCGCGCGCGAGCGCTGCGGGGCCGCCCTGCTGCGTCGGTAACGCCGTCCTTCGCACGTTGCAGGGCTAGCCCGGTTCCAGCCGGACGCATCGTCCGTCAAGTTTCACTTCCACTCGGACGAAATGGACGCCAAGAAGGGCTTCATCGCGTCATTTGAGCAAATATACGACTGTGATTGATGGCGCCGCCGGGCTCGCAGACGCTAGCGCCGCCAAGCGCCGGGGACGCGAGGCTGCGAGACCGGGCGGATGTGTCACTGCGGCGGTGCGTGCAAGACAGTCATCGCGACGGCAGGACGCGTGTGATGACACCAGGTCGTCGAGTGATGTCGAAGCTCTCAGAGGCTGGGCAGAGAGGACCGGAACGCTGTGCAGTGGGTGACAGTGACTGGCACGGTCGTGTCAGGAGCAGGACACAATGCAGCGGGCTCGCACGGTCGTGTCAGGAGTAGGAGCCAGTGCAGTGCGCTGGCACGATCGTGCCAGGAGGGCACGGTGCAGTGAACCGGCACGGCAGCCGACGGCTAAGCACAGACATCTGCTCCTGACGATGGTGCTCCACTGTCGCACGGGAGGGGCCTTCCCCGACGTGTACAATACCTCGCTGCCCGCCAATGTACGTGGGCCGTCACCGTCGATCCGTGTCTGATCGTGCATGCCATGAATCCAAAGTCCAGAGTGGCAGAATGTATTATTGGCAGACAGCTGCCGACCGAAGCGAACGTGTTACGATGCCAATAAGACACCCTGTCCACTTGCGTGAGGGTCTTACCTGCAGTCTAGAAGCCTAGTTCTAAAATTCTATAAAATTAAAAATCGTAACGATATCACACGGCGTTAAACTGGCGCCGGTCTGACCTGGCAGGGATTGCAAGGCAGTGTCGTGAGCCCGTCATAACTCACTCGCGCTTTGTGAACGGAGCAGGCAGGCCGGCCAGCTCGCAGCGTCCTTCCATCAGCAGCGCGCACCGCAGTCGAGACAGCTCACGGCGCGACGTCCTATCCAGTCTGCGCGGATATAACGGCCGGCGAACAATTCACCAACGCGACCACGCAGACACCAGCAGCAGCCTGTCGCGGCGGCCACCATCGGTAGCACATGGAGGCCGTAACCGCCGTCAGGAGGTCCCATGTTACCATAGGGAGTACATTCCTGCGATTCACAGCGGGGTGTGGCGCTGACCTGAGGCGAGGGCCGACATCTGGGGATAAGTCACAGCCTATCCTCCGGCTGGAGTGTCACTGCAGTGTTCGTTTGATACTGTGCTAATGTCCGGCGATCTGAGGTTCGTGGTGTACCCGAATAGCGTTGCTGCCACACCTCGAGTTCCCACTAGAAAAGGACCGATTACCTCAGCGATGTCGCGAGCACCATACACGCACAGCATGTGTAGACATGCCGGCACCTGCGATCGCCCGCACAACCTACGATCTCCCACACACGCTGCGAGGCCAGCACCGCCTGCTGCCATGGCGCCCTCGGGAGGGGAAGGTGCCGGGACACCCCAGCGCCCTCGGGAGGGGAAGGTGCCGGGGTACTCTGGCGCCCTCGGAAGGGGAAGGTGCCGGGGTACTCTGGCGCCCTCGGAAGGGGAAGGTGCCGGGGAACCCTGGCGCCCTCGGGAGGGGAAGGTGCCGGGGAACCCTGGCGCCCTCGGAAGGGGAAGGTGCCGGACCATCTCAGCCCCTGAGAGTAGGAAACTCCTGTCCACTTCGCCGCCCCGGAAACACCATCGACATCAAATTGTAACGACTTCCCCCGCCCCCGTGAGCAGCTGATGATCAGGGCAAATTTGTTAGCTACAGTTGTGAGCGAGCAAGCCTTCCGATGCGTCTGTGTGCTTAACGTAACAGACGGATTTCAGATGCGATCATCACCGCACAGCAATTCCGCCCCGCATGTTTCGTTATTCAACGATGACCTAAACGCGGCAACAAATTTAAAGCCTCTTTCCTGTCTACTGTGACCCACAGTTTGAGCTCTAGCGGCAAGTTGCGGGCTCCACTGAGCAGAATGGGCCTCCAGAGGCGCCTTCGACCTAGAACGGCATACAGCGCTCCTTCAAGTGGTACGCCATATGGCGTGCCAGATGTTCCCAGGCAGCTCACGCTATTATCGCGATTTCCATGCGCCTGTCTGCAGGCCACACGTAAGACGGTCAATTCTGTGGGGAGCAGGATATGGATGTCTCGTCGGGTACAGGTCGATCAGCTGCCGCAGACCTCAGTCACGTAACAACACTCCTGAATCCGGTTCCGCCACGACCGCGCAACCTTGCAAGCACATCCCTGCTGCATGAATAACAGAGCACCGTCTCACAACCGAGGCGCAGACGGCGCGCGACCGCGGGCAGAAGAGGGTGCGCCGGACGCGACGGGAGAGCCGGGTCGGCACCGGACCTCGCCCGGATCCGGACCTTGCCCGCCGGCAGCGGGCCGACCTCGGCCGCTGGAGCCCGACACGGCGGCCGACAGCGGGCCGACCTCGGCCGCTGGAGCCCAGCGCGGCGGCCGAGCGCGCGCCGACGCCGTCCGGGTGGGCCAGGCCTAGCGCCGGCCCTGTCGCCGGTCCAGCGCGGCGCGCGCCCTGGCCATGCGTCGCTCCAGCTCGTCGCCGCCGGGCCGGCCGCCAGGCAGCAGCGAGAACGGCTCGGCCGGCCGGCACCGGTCGAAGTGCGCGCAGTGGCGCATGTGGTCGGCAACGTGCCGGCCGTCACGGAAGCCGAGCGTGCGCACCGGCTCGAACGCGCCGCTGAACCGCCAGCTCTGCAACACGGCACCCCGTGAGCAGCTCGGCGGCGACGGCGCGGCGCTAAACACGACCGGGCAGATCATACGGGATGGCGAGAAGTTATGGCACGGGATCGGGCATGACCGCAGCGACAAAGCAGACGGTGAAAAGAAACGCCATGTGACGCGTACCATAGCCCACGACGCCCCACCGATCACTCGCACACGATGTACTACTGAGGATCTGGTTAGAAACAACCAGTGGCAAAATAAACTATGTTTATGATACTGGCGGCAATCGCTTCAAGGCTTCAGTCCATGGCAAGCAGAGCGTGCCGCGTCAGGATCGCCCCGTCACTCAGGTAACACCAGACTTCAGCTACGATACTGGAGCTTCAGCCTTTGGCTGGATAGAACGGCGACAAAATTATTTCCGTGCGCAAAATGCACGTAGATCGCCGGGTTTATATGTACAGAGGGTATGGCCGACGCTCAAGTGACCCCCCAGGCCACAGTCAGTTACCTGCTAAGACCAAACATATCTGTGATAATGAACAGCTGCGCATGATCCCAGAAACGCCCAGGCCAGGATAATGCCGACACGCCAAATTGGAAGCGAAACACTCGAGAAACCGACAAAAATAGTCCAACGATATAGTTTTCCTAGTCTGGAGCAGAGCTGCAACGTGAATTCACTGCCAACACCGTTAACAGTTAAATACCCGGACAGAAGACCGGCCAGTGTATCTCAACCAGCGCTAGCCTACCTTGGCCACCGAACGCCATGTGACCCGGCCGTCCACGCGAATCGGCGACCACATGAGCATCACCAGGCCGCGGCTCTCCACCAGCGAGGCGCACACGTCACGCAGCAGGCGGCACGTCAGCGACAGGTGGTTCAGGCTGTAACATAATGCACGTCAGTGACGGATGGTTCAGACTGTAACACACCGCAGTCCACGACAGGTGATTCAGACTATAACACACTGCAGTCCGCGACAGGTGCTTCAGACTGTAACACACGGCACGTCAGCGACAGGTGGTTCAGAATGTAACACACAGCACGTCAGCGGCAGGTGGTTCGGACTGTAACACACTGCAGTCCGCGACAGGTGGTTCAGACTGTAACACACGACACGTCAGCGACAGGTGGTTCAGAATGTAACACACGGCACGTCAGCGGCAGGCGGTTCACACTGTAACACACTGCAGTCCGCGACAGGTGGTTCAGACTGTAACACACGGCACGTCAGCGACAGGTGGTTCAGAATGTAACACACGGTACGTCAGCGACAGGTGGTTCAGACTGTAACACACGGCACGTCAGCGGCAGGTGGTTCAGACTGTAACACACTGCAGTCCGCGACAGGTGGTTCAGACTGTAACACACGGCACGTCAGCGACAGGTGGTTCAGACTGTAACACACGGCACGTCAGCGGCAGGTGGTTCAGACTGTAACACACGGCACGTCAACGACAGGTGGTTCAGACTGTAACATAATGCACGTCAGTGACGGGTGGTTCAGACTGCGACGCATGACACGTCAGCGGCAGGTGGTTCAGACTGTAACACACCGCACGTCGGCGACAGGTCGTTCAGACTGCAACACACGGCACGTCAGCGACAGGTCGTTCAGACTGCAACACATGACACGTCAGATGGTTCAGGCTGTAACCCACCGCACGTCAGGTGGTTCAGACTGTAACACACGACACGTCAGTAGAGGGTGGTTCAAATTTTAACACACGGCACGTCAGCGGCAGGTGGTTAACACTGTAACACACGACACGTCAGCGACGGGTCATTCAGGCTATAACAAGACAACATGTTAGCAACAGGCGGCTGAAAACTTAACACATGAAGTCAATGGCAGATGAAGTCAATGGAGCTGCGACAGACGGCACGGCTGGACATGTGGGCTAATCTAACCGACGACATGGCAGTGACGGGTTGTTCGGACTGGAACAGATTACGCATCAGTGACAGGCGGGCTCAGGCTGCAACAGACAAACCAGTGGCAGATGGTCCAGGCTGTAGCAAACGGCACATCCGTGACGGGTAGATCATGCTGCTGATTGCAATGCGCGGCACGTCTGTGCCGGGTAGACCACAACAGACGGCGCCTCAGTCACAGCCAGCCCAGGCTATGCCGAGCAGACGACAACAGACGGTGCCTCGACCGCAGCCAGCTCAGGCCGTGCCAAACAGACCACAATAGACGGCGCTTCAGTCGCAGCCAGCCCGGACTATGCCGAGCAAACCACAATAGACGGCGCTTCAGTCGCAGCCATCCCAGGCTATGCCGAGCAGACCACAATAGACGGCGCTTCAGTCGCAGCCAGCTCAGGCTGTGATGAGCGGTACCCCGTTGGCAGGCAGTGTGGCGCTTTGCTCAAGTCCCACTGTGCCGCACCTTCCCACCGGCCGCGACCCTGCCAGGGGGGGGGGGGGGGCTGGCGTTGAGGCGGCGCACCTGAATGGGTCCAGCAGGGCGGCGATGTGCTCCAGCACCTCGAACGGCAGCGTCGTCAGCAGGCCAAGATCCGGGGGCGCGTCGGCACTACCCGCCACGGTCACGCCCACGCAGCCAGTCACCGGGCTGACGACGAACCGCTGCTGCGGCCGGTCCGGGTACAGCCTGGAACACCGGCGCCGCCGCTCACATCCGGCCGGCATGCGCGGTCGGCGACGGGTCGTCTGGCTCAGGACAGCGGCCGGACGGGCTCGGCTGGCTCAGGACAGCGGCCGGCAACGGGTCGGCTGGCTCAGGACAGCGGCCGGCGACGGGGCGGCTGGCTCAGGACAGCGGCCGGCAACGGGTCGACTGGCTCAGGACAGCGGCCGGGCGACGGGTCGGCTGGCTCAGGAGGGCGGCCGGAGACGGGTCGGCTGGCTCAGGACAGCGGCCGGCGACAGGTCGACTGGATCAGGACAGCGGCCGGCGGGCGGGGAGGCCACGGCACCAGGCCGACTGGTAAAGGTCGATTGGCCACCTCAATGGCAGGGTGGGCGCACATCAGGCACGTCAGCCGCCATGACAGGGACACACTCGACGTGTCTGCACGATCGCAGCCAACCCAGAACGATCCTGAACGAGTCGACTCGAGCCACTCCCCAACGCATCAGCCACACCAGGACAGCCACGCAGCGATGTTCAGCAGTCTCCCAAACCGTCCCCGCTTACCGCGCCCCGCTCACCTGTCGGCCACGTGCGGGCATCCGTACTGAGCCAGCGGGCAGCGACGCTCGAGCCAGGCGCCGGCGCCGCCGTGCACGTCTCCGTGCACCCGCCGGTAGTGGTGCGCGAACTCGTCCCGGCGCAGCGGCTGCGCGCACTGGAAGGCGTACAGCGTGCGCGGCCGGCCCTGGCGCGCCGACACCGACTCGATGGTGAGGCCGAGCCGCGGCCCGTCGCCGTCCTCGTCCGCCTCGCGCTCCTGGCGGCGCCGCTCGTCCTCGCGCTCGTCCAGCGCCTGCTGCTTCATGCGCCGCAGCACGGCGTCCAGGTCGTACTTGCCGGGCCGCTCGCGCACGCGCTCAGTGCGCTCGACGCGGCGCCACGTGAGGCCGCCGGCGCCGCCGTCGGCCGGCGCCGCCTCCCACACGAGGCGCACGGCCAGGCGCGGCCGCTCCGGCTCGTTTCGGCAAAACTTGCACAGATCCTTGGCGATCCTGTGCACGCATTCGCTGTTGACGTACGTGTCGTAGGCGGCCTCGGGCGGCGGCGGGTCCGCTGGAGGCGACCGGCCGGCGGCGGCTGCCGGCTCGCCGCGAGCAAGCTGGCCGCAGACGCTTCGCTGCAGGCCTGCACGAAACGGGAGGGTGCAGGAGCACGCGGACACGACCCAGTCATCCCAGGAGTGAACAGTGCTGAGGATGACAGCATAGTGCATACTACATACTTTGTAGTATGCACTGCGGCATACTGACGGTGAAGTGGATGAGAGCATAGTGCATACTGCATACTTTGCATTATGCACTACGGCATAGTATGTCAAGGGAATGGGCGAATGTACATTGTGTAACCAGACAACGGCAAATCACGAGACAGTCCCGATTAAAGAAACGCATTGGTGATGGCAGAATCCAAATGACGGTTCAACACCTTCAGAAAATGCAAAAAAGCAATACATCTGACGACGCAATCAACTTAAGACAAAAGCAAGACAAAGTATTAAATGGCCTCTAACATCAACTTTCCTGCGATTGTATTGTCTTTGGAAAGCCTAGTTTTTCAATTAGAAGTTTTTATCAATGCTTTATAAACTGGCCGTAAACTTCACGTTCCAAGAGCAAAACTTCGCAATCAAAAATGCCCGGCGCTCGGCCGCCGTACCTGGCGGCTGGGCGGGGTCGCGGTCCTCGGCCGCCGCCGCCCGGTCCAGGCTCAGCTCCGGCGCCAGGTGCGAGCAGTCGAACGTGCCCGGTAGCCGGAGCGGCACGGGCGGGAAGGTGCGCAGCCGGCGCGCCAGGCTGCGCACCGGCGCCAGGCAGCCGCGCAGCAGCCGCTCGTCACGCTGGCGCAGGGCCTCGTCTGCGGAGAGGGCGGTGCCGGTCAGGGGGCGGTGCCGGGCACAGGGCGGTACCGGTCAAGGGGAGGCACCGGTCAGAGGGCGGTACCGGTCAGAGAGCGGTACCGGTCAAAGGGAGGCGCCGGTCAAGGGAAGGTGCTAATTAGGGGCAGATGCTAGTCAGGCGGAAGCGCCGGTCAGGGGAGGTGAGGTCAGGGGGAGGTGCCGGTCAGAGGGCGGCTCCGATCAGGGGCAGGAGCCGGTCAGAGGGCGGTGCCGTTCGCCTCACCGGTCCGCGCCAGTCGTTGTCGGCATGGTCTCTCTCCACAACGTCTTGGGACGGCACGGGAAGAGGTAGCACCAGCACTGGGATCGGGCAGGTGTGCTGATCAGTCTGGGAATGCTGCCAGGAGAGGGCGCCAGTCGTTCGACGAGGAGGGACCGCGTGTTATATGGGCTGGGTATGCAGTTGATCTGATGAATGGCTTCGGAGACACTCAACCAAAATGTCGAGCAAGATCACCAATGGCTTGGGCGTACAGTAAACCTGGCACGACATGACTTTTCGGAGACGTCACCCGTCTACTCACGATGTCACACAGCCTTTCTGCTTTAAATTAAAGGTCAGACCAAAGCAATGCAAAGACATTAATCATGTCAATGGAAACCTCTTATCAAAACGGAGTGAAGGTGGCACGCAAATCATCACGACGAGTGATAAAACTGCAGCCCGTCCTACCGAGCGGCCCGTCCGGCCCCGGCGGTGGCTGGCGCGGCGCCGGCGCCAGCAGCGGCCAGCGGTTCCACTCGGCCATGCAGAGCACCACGCTGGCCGGACAGTCGGTCAGGTGGGCGGCCCGCAGGCGGCGCGCCAGCACCGCCGCACAGCCGTACTCCGCGTTGATGCAGGGCACCTGGCGACATCAGCCGACGTGGGGGTCACAGCTTGGCTCACAGGAAACGCGGAGACGTCAGGGTCACAGCTCGACTCGCGGGAGACGCGGAAACGTCAGGGTCACAGCTCGACTCGCAGGAAACGCGGAGACGTCAGGGTCACGGCTCGGCTCTCAGGAGACGCGGAGACGTCAGTGTCACAGCTCGGTTCGCAGGAGACGCGGAGACGTCAGGGCCACAGCCCGGTTCGCAGGAGACGTGGAGATGTCAGAGTCACAGCTCGGCTCCCCGGAAGCGCGGAGACGTCAGGGTCACAGCTTGGCTCACAGGAGACACGGAGACACCAGGGTCACAGCTCGGTTCGCATGAGACGCGAAGAGCACAATACGCAGCGAGATGTGACCGTTAAAGGCCAGCTGACAGCCGACAGCGAGACGTGAGAGGCTCAGTAGACAGTGAGATGTGAACGTCACAGGCCAGCTCACAGCCGATAGCGAGACGTGCGGAGCAGACAACGACGGCGACAGCAGACAGCCACAGTAGACAGCGAAACATGAGCGTCCCAGCTTGCCTCGCAGCGGACAATACGTGAGCGTCGCAACCCAGCTAATCGCAATCAGCGACACATGGACATCGCAGCTGGCGGAGGCGTCAGCAACCCACAGTCACGGGCCGACCACCGCAGAGGCCAGCGCTCCATAAACGGTGGAGCGCTAGCCTCTGCGGTGGTCGGCTAGCCACGTGTGGAGCGCCAACCTGAAAAAAACAAACTGTTACCGACCTGCTCCTCGGGGCAGAGGAGCCTGTGTTCGGCCAGTTTGCAGCGGTGCAGCCGGTGGCCGCAGCCGACCGGGCAGTCGACCAGCTCGCAGCGCGGCCCGCCCACGGGCGCCGCCTGCGCGCAGCGGGACAGCTTGACACAACGCTCGCAGTGCGCGTGCAGCCCCGCCGCCGCCTCCGGCGCGTCCATGACCCTGCCGGAACAGACGGCCACACCCACAGTTAGAGGATCCGCGGGATATGACTGGCTGAGTCGTGCTGGCAGGCGGACAGCAGACTGTCCGCCCGAACTTCAAAGGCCCGTGTGACAGCAGACTTCAGACTTCAGGACAGACTTCAGGACAGTAGACTGTCCGCCCGAACTTCAGAGGCGTTCCACCCCGCATGCCCGACTGCGGCATGCGGGGTGGAACGCTCCCTGGGTCGCCACAGGTGCGGCAGGCGGCTGCAAACACGTTTACGTTTGGCAGTGTGTGGCAGCCTGCAGGTTATAATTCCGGAAAATTGGCCTGTACACGTGTGACACATATGCAATCACGGCTGTTGGGTCAGTGCACGTGCCAGATGTTGTTGGGTCAATGCACTTACAATGCACGTGCACGTGCCCCTCACATTTCCCTGTCGGCTGCGAGCCGGTCTGTGACGCTCACGTTTCGCTGTCTGCTGTGCCTGTCGGCTATGAGCTGACCTGTGACGCTCACAACTCGCTGTCTACTGTGCCCCTCACGTCTCGCAGTTAATGTCCTGGTGTTGTTTTGTGTTCACCACTTACAAAGAGCATTTGCAGTTTAAGTGGACTTGTGTATTTACGTCAAACAATTGTTTTAGTGAGTGAAGGTAATCCATGTACAAAGCGAACCGATTAATCGCGCCGTGAGCATCCACTGTTGTGCCGCCCCATCTATGGGCCGCAAACATTAAACATGCCTGCGTCGAATTGTACTGAACACAAGCTTACGCGGTGTCCGATCCTAAAAAAGTAATACACGCTGCCAGGCAACGCTATCACGCTCAGTGCCGCGCATGGCTTGGTGAGGGAACTTCAAGCATTGACATTGCAATCAGACAGGCCAAACGTGACGCAATGACACTGGACAAATGGATAGGCTAGAGCTGCGCATTCGACGCAGTTGAGATTTTAAGCCTATGTTGGATGGATTCGGATTCAGATTCAAGATCCAACTATTGCTGAATCCTTACATCAAAAAATTGAAGGTCTAACGCCACACACTTCCCGTTTTTATACCGATTTCATTGGTTTCTGGTCAACTGCTTTCCTGCTTCTGCCAGTGGTGCAGTTCTAACTCAGTCGACGAAATAGAGGGAGGTATGGCCGCCGGTCCGTGGCGGTGCAGGTTTGTTTTTATAGGGGGGAGGGGCAGTATATGACAAGGTCGGCTACGCCCTCGACGACCTAACGTTGTACGCCGTCGTTTTCCTTACTTCTAAAACGATTGAACGCTAGCTAGGACAAAAATGACGATTTCTTTTTTTTGAGCAGAGAGACACAGTAAGCACTCCCATGAGGGACTGAGCTTTTTAGTTTCTATTGTTTTCCGCACATGCGACAATAAGGCTCCTGAAGCAAAACTCGCATACATATTGACGTACCTCCTATCGCTATATTTTTATGAATTTTTTATGAGCGAGGTGACCATTTGAACACCTACACAGTGGCAAATGATGTCCACAAACGGAAAACGAGGCTGGGTCATCAAGTTTACACGCAATTTTACGTAAAGCCGACCGATTCGTTCGAGGAGGGCCCTTTGTCAGGTAGAGGTCCCTGTATTTTTATCTCTGCCCCCTCCCCTCGACACCCTTGCCTATAGTCTGGAAACAAAACATGACGGAGATGGCGAGAGAGACCAGTAACCACAGCAGTTTGGTCCGGGGATAGCCATTACCATGTAATAAAACAGGACGGGGGACTCCGCCTCATGCGGCACTGACGCATCAACAGTACAACCAATGTATTGGAAGCGGTTGTTAGGATTCATTTCCTGATTTTTTTAAAGATTCGCGCCCCGTTTTTAGGATTAGAGGACAGGTAAGATTTAGGTGTACTGGAATCTATTCGCATTTGGGCACCCAAATCTTCAGCCCATGTGCACACGCTAAATCTTCCATTGAAAGAGCGCAACTTGTAACAATGCACGGAACATAATATATCTCCGCTTTTGAAGTAGTCTTCGATACATCCTCGCTCCATGAAACAATGCGCATTTCCTCTGAACAGCTAAGACAACTACCTACAGTCTAGAGCCTGCTACTGTACAGACAAAAATATACTGTACCAATGGGTATGTCAACTGACGTCATGTTTTACGGTGATGCCATGGTAATTTTAATTCTTAAACGCTGCGCATATGTGTGAACAAATTCAATAAAAAGCTGTCGTCTCAGTCCAAACAAAACATTTTCCATGAACAAGGTTTCAGTACTATCACAACTTTTCCTGACGGCAGTGTGCCCGCCACCACGGGGTGCTGCCACATTGCCAATAAATGGTCGTGCCAACCGCAATTAACGCAACGCGTCATGCTTGGATCGCACGCTTGTTTGATAATTAAAGAAAGTAATTGAGACTGGCACCCAGGAGACGTAATTCGGCTGATTACCAGGCGTGGGAGCATTCGTAACGCCGAAACCCGACAACAGCTCAACCCTCCCCGCCATATTTGCGACCATTTGGAAAGTGGGGTTCTGTTTCAGATCGATCAATTTGCTCGATTACGAAGGCCGGCCATCGTCCGGCTGCAAGCGACGTCGCACTATTTGCTCGTCGGCCGCAGCACGGCGACAGGATGACGGCGCGAGCGGTCCGACTGCCGGGGCTGCATGGTCAGGTGCCCAGCGGGCCAGAACTATTGTAGCGGAGGACGTTACCAGCGAGCCATCGCGTCGGAGCAGCGCGAGTCCGCCTCTCCGCACTCCGGGGTGAGCCACGGGTCAAGCAGCTCTGCCCCAGCCCTCGCCTGTCAAGCGCTGGACAATGGCCAGCCTCTGAACCCACCAGGGACATACGAGGAGCAGGCAAAATCACAAGGAGATGGCAGTCCACCGCCGGGAGGGCCTGGTCAATGTCCGGAGCAGTCCCGGTCACAGGGTCACAAGGTCACAAGGAGCCGGCAGCCGACCGCTGGAGGACCTGGCCAGTGTCCGAAGCAGTCCCGGTCACAAGGTCACAAGGTCACAAGGAGCCGGCAGCCGACCGCTGGAGGACCTGGCCAGTGTCCGAAGCAGTCCCGGTCACAAGGTCACAAGGAGGCGGCAGCCGACAGCCTGGCCAATGCCTGGTGCGGTCCCGCCGACCGAAGTCAGGCGCCGTCTCGGCAGGCGGCGCCCGGCAGGCAAGATTACAGGCGGCAGCAGCGCATGCCGAGAGGGTGCGGCACACGACCGGCCACCACCAGCGGGCTACCACCGCCGACCCCACCGCTGCTGAGAATGGCGGAAGACCAGCTGTATTATCACTGTAACTGTAACGTCTTCGGCGTGCCAGACAGACGGTCACAAAGTCAGTTTCACAAGAGGTTAAGTGAGTCGAACAGAACTAGAGTGAAGTGAACAAATACGAAGGTCAGGGAGCCTTCCTAGCAAGAGAGCTTGGTTTACCTGCCCACATTTTCCTATTGAAGAACAACTCCAAGTTCATTCCAATGAGTTCAAACTTGTCGCAAATGGATGATTTCCAGCATTGGCAAGGCGCGTGACACCTGAACAAAACATATAATCAATCCTCCGGCACCAATGCCACTGTCCTAATGGAAAACTGCTGACCACAAAGTTAGTGCCGTCGAAGAACGCACACACGGGGCGCCACGCGTACCACTTGAGGTCATTGCTGACATGACACTCAGCAATACACCATGATGTGCACCGTGGAAATGCACGAAGTTACGATTCATTCGACAAATGAGCTGCCTCATTTTTTTTCTACTTTGTCCGTCCGATGGCTCAGTTGGTCAGAGCTCCTGCCTTCCAATCCACCCACCGGCGTTAGGGTGGGTTCGAGTCGCTTTAGGGCGCTCGCTATTTCCCCTTGACAGGTATGGGCTGCGGCCGGCAGCGGTTGCGCTAAAAGTCAGTTGACATCAAGGGACCGTGCCGAGCATTGCGGCACGTTAAGCTTTCGCCACTGAATTCTACCGTTGCATAGAATTGCGTGATCGGATAGTGGGGGTCAGGGCTCACGCAAGCACTGCTTAGCGTCAGCGCTGATCCCAACAATTCATCCATTCAAAAGGTTCGAATCACATTTATAAAAAGGAAAGCAAGAAAAAAAGTATCTCCGATGATAGTTTTATGGAAGCCTGATGTATTATGTCGCAAATGGTTGCGAATTGCGATCAGCGGTTCCAGTCCCCCCCCCCCCCCCCCACGCACCACATGTCTCCAATGCAGATCGGGGGAAACCTTTTGTGGGATAACCTATCTTGTAATTTAGATGCCGCTAAGCAATCTTAACAATTGGCTACGCAAGTACTTAGCTTTGTGTCTAACTTATCACAACTGCGCGGTAGTGACAGTGAATATCTACTGGAAAGTGCATTATTAATGCAAAACATACATTTTGGAGGTGAATTGGTCAACAGAATTGGATAACACAATGACAGTCATGCATTCTCCGGTCCAATAGCGCATTCGCACCTGTTGGGGCGTCCATCGCAACACAACAGATACGTTCATTGGCTCAGCGCAGCAAATGAAGGTCTACAGAGACAAAACTATGCTTCTTATGGTTTAACACCAAAAGAGCGCTTAAAACTGGCTTCAATGGGGACAAAATACGGCATGAGCTCCAACGAGTAGAACAAACGCTGGGCGAAAACGAACACAGCAACAATGTCATCAACCATGGTATCACAAACACATACGATCCTGGAAGATGGTCGGCACTGATACGTGCACGTGTACTGGTATTTACGTGTTTTGCTATGCTACATCATCTAAAATGCCTAAATAAAGTCAATCAATAAACAATGAACTGAATATACTGCGGTTGAACCAAGGTATCACCACAAACACCAACAACCTGTAACTCCTGTAACCCGACCTCCCCTGGGTCCAAAACAAGTGCGATGGTTATTCGGTGGATAGTGCATGACAATGTAGCACGTGTTGGACCTAACGGCACACTACACCGGATCATGTACAAAAAAACTCTCCCCCACAGCCAAGTCCATTTTCA